CTTTTTCTTTTTCTTTTTGGTAGAGATGGGGTCTCGTTCTTGCTCAGGCTGATCTCAAACTCCTGGCCTCAAGCGATCCTCCCACCTCAGCCTCCAAGAGTGCTAGGATTACAGGTGTGAACCACCATGCCCCACCTTGCGCCATTTTAACCAAAGCAAAATGGCCTAAGTATTATAATACAAAGTGTTAACATATAGCATAAAAATACCAAAACAGACATACTAATTCCAGTTAGGAATGTGACGATGATATTACTTTTTTAATAATCCATGGCCATTTCTTACCTATCTGAAATATTCAAAAAGGAACTTGCATTTTGATCCCTTACAGGAAAAACATTCTGTTTATGCTTCCATCGTCTGCAAGAGCATCCTCTGATGGTTTGAAAGGGTGTGTTGCATATGGTTCTTTAGCAATCTCCTTGTCTTCTGCTGGGTGGACTGTGGCAGTCGTCAGGAGCCGTGAACGTTGTTAGGAGGGGTTTCCACTTGCAGCTGAAACAGCAACAAAAGGCAAAAGGAAAGATGAGAAGAAATCTTAGTGTCCTCATAGCCTGAAATGGCCTTCAATGTTCCACGTGGTGGTCCTTATTGCCTGGGAGCATTGGATGCTCAGAGCCTGGTACTATTAGGGACACGCATGTGGTGTCTTGGTTTCCCCACCTGGATGTATCTCATGGGTTCGACATCAAGAGTCACGCCACGAATGAGCATGAAGAGGAACACACAGGACCCGGCAGCTTTAAGCCCTCAGCCCACATGGGCATGCCTGTCCCCCTTCCCCTCCTCCCTCCCCACTCTCTCTCCCCACCCCCATCCCCCTCAAAATTATTTTCTACAATGCATCTCTAGCATAACATTTTAACATCTTACATGTACTATGTATGTCTCATGCGATTTTCTAAATTTATGTTTTTTAGAGACAGGGTCTTGCTCTGTCGCCCAGGCTGGAGGGCAGTCACACAATCACAGCTCACTGCAGCCTTGAACCCCTGGGCTCAGCCTCGCAAGTAGCTGGGAATACAGGTGCACAGCACCATGCCCACATAATTTTTCTATTTTTTGTAGAGACAGGGGCTCTGTATGTTGCCCAGGCTGGTCTTGAACTCCTGACCTCAAGCGATCCTGCTGCCTCAGCCTCCCAGAGTGCTGGGATTACAGGTGTGAACCACTGCGCCCAGCCTGATTGTTTTAAAATAAGCTTTTTATAGTGGCGTAAATTCAGATTTATAGAAAAGTTGCGAAGATTGTACAGAGGGTCCCCTCCAGCATGAATGTCTTACGTTATCAGGGCACATTTGCCACAACTAAGTAATCAACATCAGCACATTGCTAGTGATGAGCCCCCTGGTGCTCTTGGATGCGGCCAGATCTTCTGGTCATGACTTCCCTGTGGTTGAGGGTCTCCAGGGTCCCCCACTGCACTTACTTGTCACATCTCTTTAGTCTCCTCTGATGTGTGACATCTTTACTAGTTGCTCACGATCTTGGCAGTCTTGGGGAGGACTGGCTGGTTGTCCCACAAAATGCTCCCAGTCTGGCTCTGCCCGGCATTCTTCCCGGGGTTAGCTGGGGTTCTGGGTTCTGGGGGAAGTGCCCTTCTCTTCTCGTCGTATCAGGGGTACGTGATAGCCACAAGGTTTATCATGGTGATGTTAATTTGCATTACTTGGTGCAGGTGGTGTTTATATTTTCTGTGGCTGCTATAACAAGTAACCACTGGTGGCTTAAAACAACCAAAATATATCCTCTCACGGTTCTGGAGGCTGGAAGTCCAAAACCAAGGTATAGGCAGGGATACACTCCCTCTGAACGCTCTAGGGGAGGACGCTGCCTTGTTTCTTTCAGCTGCCGGTGGCTCCTGGCATTCCTTCGCTTGTGGCTGCGTCACTCCAATCTCTGCCTCTGTCTTCTCTGTGTCTCAAATGTCCCTCTGTGTTTCTCCTAGGACACCAGTCATTGGGTTTGGGACCCAGCCTTAATCCCAGATGCTCTCATCTAGAGACTAGAGATCTGTCACTTAATTATATCTGAAGAGACCCTTTGTCCAAAGAAGGTCACATTTTCTATTTTTTGTAGAGACAGGGTCTCACTCTTGCTCAGGCTGGTTTTGAACTCCTGGCCTCAAGCGATCGTCCCGCCTTGGCTTCCCAAAGTGCTAGGATTGCAGGCGTGAGCCACCACGTCCAGCCACGATTAGCTTTTGAGGGGGGCAGTTAGGAAAGCGTTCACAGAGCAGGTATACATTAGTGCAGGTTCTTCCAATTGCTGGGGACAGATTCCAAATTCCAGGTGGATTAATCAATAAAGAACAACTTCCTGGGCTTATCTGAGTGGACAGTCACAGCTATGACTTCAGGTATAGCGGGATCCAGGGGCTCAAACCATGCCTCCTTTTCCGCCGAGTAGCTCCAGCGTCTTGTTTATGGTGGATTCTTTCTGCAGAAAGCTTCTTCCAGAAGACAGATCTCAATTGCGCTAGACTTTCACTAACTCACTTTAACCCCCCAGGAAAGATCTCTTTTCCCTCTCAGCCCTCAGCAGCCTTCCCTGGGGAGAATCTGATTGGCCCTGGCAGGCCCTTTAACCAATCACTATGGCCAGGGGCACGGAGAACTCTGATTGGCCACTCTCATTGTTGAAAGGGCAAACAAAAACCTGCAGTGAGCACAGTCTGCCACGTGGGGTCACCCAAGCAGAGGTTTCAATAACAAATAGGAGTTTGCCAAATGAGCAAAAGAAAAAAGAATTTACACATAGAAAAGTCTGGAAAAGTCAGGACCGGGTGCCCCAGCGTGCGACTTTCCTCCTACTTTCGTTGCCATGTTGACGCTGGGACACCTCTTGTACCGACTTTCTTTTGTTTATTTCAAGCAGCCTCTGCCCTTGGCCAAACAAGGCTTGGCCGGGCACCCGCATCCCTCTAACCCAGTTGGCACATTGCTGTTGGCATCCCACTAGCGTCCTACACACATCTCAGACCTCCCTGGCATATCTGGGCCACCCAGCGGGGCTTGAATTCAGCGAGGCTCATCGTGAGCGTTGGCATCACCTTTGGTGCCTGGAATTCACACAGCCCTTCTCTTTGGAGAGTTTCCCTGCTCCGTGGGCAATGCCTCCTCATGGAAAGGGGGTAGCGGGGACTTCATCTCCCATGCCACCTGGATCCACATTCCCTCAGGCCAGGGCAAACTGGCTTCAGGTATGGCTGGATTCCTTTTTGCTCCTTTGTTTCCTTCTGGGTGTTGCTTTTATTCTGCAAACCTCAGGGAGGGCAACTGTTGGTCCAGGGCTACTGGGCGCTCTGCACTTTATACAGGTTTGCATTTGATCAGTCTGCACAGTAACCCTGGCTGGTCTGAGATGAGGAACATGCCTGAGCCTCTCAGCTCTTTCATAGCAGAACTGGGCACCCAAATCCCTCTCCCCTCACCAGGTCCTGGAGGGAAGGTCTTAGTGCCCCAAACCCTCTGGTGGGAGGCAGCTGGGCCTGTGGTCTCTGAGGCCTGGTATGGGAGATTCTTTAATTAGGTTTTGAAATTGAGTGTCAAGGATTTCCGAATTCAGCTCCAAGAGGCATAGAGTTCTTTCAGCTGGAAGTTCCCCACCCTGGACTTGGCATGAAAAGGCTCTCAGTCCAGTGCTGAGACTCAGGAGGCTGCAAGAGGGGCAGTCACTGGACAAGGACCTCTATTTATAGGCCTGGAAGTCATGCATGCCAGAGGACAGAACCCTCGATTGGCACCCAGCTGAGCCTCTCCTAGGAATTTAGGCTGTAGTCATGCTCGGAAGCGTGTGAAAATACAGGCTTGGTCACGTTGGAGAAGTGAACTATTCAAACAAATGTCTATGTTTAAAGACATCACAGCTGACACTTGATGTAGTGGGTTGAGTAGCATCCCCTAAAAAGATATGTCCAAGTCCTAACTTCCTGGTGCCTGTGACTATGACCTTAATCAAAATAGGGTCTTTGCAGATGGAATTAAGGATTTCGAGATGACATTATCCTGGATTTAAGGTAGGCCTACTAAAAGAAAGAAGTGTCCTTATAAGAAAAAGGAAGGAAGATTTAAGACACAGAGACACACAAGAGAAGGGCCATGTGAAGACAGAGGCAGAATTGGGGTGATGCCTCTACAAGCCAAGGACTGCCAGCAGCCACCAGAAGCCAGAAGAGAGGCATGGAACATATTGTCCCTCACAGCCTCCAGAGGGAGGAAATCCTGCTGACACCTTGATTTCAGGATTCTGGTCTCCTGAACTGCGAGAAAGTCAAGTTCTGTTGTGTTAAAGCACCCAGCTTGTGGGAATTTGTTACAGAAGCCTTAGGAAACAAATACATTTGTCTATTTATTTTGTTTACTGTCTGTCCCTCTGACGGACTTCTGAGCCCCAGGAGGGCTGGAGTTTTGTGTTCATTTCTGTGAAAAGAAGGAGGCACACAGTAGGTGCACAATACAGATCTGTTGCATGCCCATGTCTTAAGTTCTTGCTATGTGCCAGACGCTGGTTTAAGTGCTTTTACACAGTTTAACTCATTTCAACTTCAAAGCAACCTTTTAGGGCAGACACTGCTATTATGATCCGTTTTACAGGGGGCAGATTGAGGCTCAGAGGGGCGCGGTGAGTATTTCAACCAAAATATGTGCTCTGGAAAATTACCAACTACGCTAATGAGAATCAGAAGCCTAGGAGCCCAAAGGACGACAATAGGCACGTCCCAATAGTCACAGTACCTCGGTTTCTCTCTCGATTGCAAATCCAAGGAATTAACTGGCTTTGCCCACAGGGTGGAGCCCAGGAGACCAGCGACGGTATCATCTGCGCATGCGTCCTTACCCACAATGCATCATGCCCCGGAGCGCGTGTGGCCCCACCTTCTTTTGCATTACAAGCCGCGGCACTTTACGGCTCTTTTCCTTGTTCCTCCGGCGGGAACACGGCGCGCCCCGCCCTATTCCGCGAGGATTGGTTGTCTGTTCCTCAAGTCCTGCGCTGATTGGTCCGCGTATTTGTCACTCCTTTTCAGCCTAGTGGCGCGCGGCACGGCGGCGACAGGCGGGAGCGTGAGCTGCAGCGGCTGCGGAAGTGGCCGGCGAGCCCGCTCCCCGCCGACACCATGGTGAGGGCAGGGCAACGGTGGGGTCTCACCGGGAGGCAGGGGCCGCGGCTGTTGGGGGCCCTGAGGGCCGGCGCTGGGGGCTGAGATGGCTCGAGGTAAACGTGCATTCCGAGCCTTGAGTCCCGCCCCCCGGCCTGAGGCGGGGAAACTGAGGCCAAAGAGGGCAGGTGGCTTTCCCGGGGCGCTTGCCACGTCTGTATCTGGGGTTTAGGGACGCACGTGCATCCATAATACAATCGCCTACCTTCTTTAGTCTTCCCATTATAAGCAAGTGGGGAAACTGAGGCCAGAGAGGGAGGGGGCCCGCCAAATGCAGCAGAGCGAGGTTTTAGCCATGGAAAGGGCTTCGAGCTCACGTGGGCTGGTCTAACCTCATGGACTGGGAAGCTGGAGAGCCGGGAAGTAGGGGGCTGGTCTGAGTTCTGAAACTAAGCCAGTTTTGGGAATTTCAGGACTTGCGAGGTGCTTAGAATGTTAGCAGTGCAACGCTCCTATGCGTCTCGTTTTCTGGCTGAAAAGCAGGCCCAGAGAGGGTAGTTGTTTCTTCCTGGACCACATAGCGTGTCATTCCGGGGGAAGGGATCATTTAGAGCCAGGGGTGGACAAAGTGCATCCTCCGAGTACACAGAAGGAAAAATTGAGGCCTGGGCCTCTCCAGGGCCATGCATTTCATTGTTACAGAAGTTCTGGATCTGGGCCGGAGGGTGCCAGTGTCCCCAGTGTACAGATAGGGACACAAATTCAGCTGGGAGTCTCCTGGCCTGTCAACACCCAGTCCTTCTGTTTTTAGGGAAAGGAAACAAGGCCCTTGGTGGAGAAGTGATTTCTAGACTCACTCTATGAAACAGGGAGGATGCTGGAACCAGGAGGACCTCCAAAGTGTGGCCGCACGTTTCTCATAGTTGAGGATTGCTGAGGGTTTCTGCTAAATCCTGCTGGTTGGTGCAGAAGTTCAGAGAAGAGCCTGTCCCTCTCTGCTGCATTCCAAGAGAGCAGATTCTGCACGTGAGGATGGGTAGGACTGGAAGGGTCCACATCTGTGTCAGGCTTTGTGGAGGCAGGGTCCTTGTCATCCCCAATATATTCCTAGTGTGTGGGAACAGTGCCTGGCTCATTTATTCAGCCCGTTCTCGTCTTCTGAACATCCAGAGTCCTTAAGTCCTGGCTCCTCCAGGAGTTTCCTGGAGGAGTGGACAAAGTATGACGAGTCACACGCTTCTAGTTCTTGGGGTCTGGGCAGGGCCAGAGGAGTGGCTTAGGTTAGCAATGGGGGTGGAGTGTCCAGGAAGGCTTCCTGAATTAGGAGCCATTCACATTAGTCCTCAGTCTGTCTAGACCTGAGGACTAGATCCCAGATGTTGTAAGAAAGCCAAGAGAAAGGAGTTCTCTTTCCTGAATCTCTTGCGACTTTCCCAGGTCGAGAGAGCCCGTCTCCCTGTGGACTGGGCAGCTGATGCTCCTCCTGGCTCACTTGGTGCTTTCATGCATCTTTAAGTTTTCGAGGAACCACTCCTTCCTCTGGCCTCAGTTTCCAGCACAGTTCGGGGTAAGGATGCAGGAGAGAACACTACGTGGTCACTGGTCCAGGCCATTGCGGCCCTGGAGGGCCTCAGCCTGGCAGTCCAGCTGCTTCCTGTCCCAAAGCCACTTCTTCCCATCTGAGCCACTCCTTTCCTTACCTGTGGGTGGGGCCGGTGTTCCGCCTGCCCTGCGCACCTCTCTGGGTGAGGCATGGGTTTCCCTTGTGTATTTATTCAGCAAATATTTACCGAGTCCCTCTCGTGTGCCTGGCCCCATGCTTGGCGCTGGACAAAGTCCACACCCACTTTGAGTTTTCCAGTCTAGCCGGGGAGACAGGTGATAAATAAACAAAGCAATTAGAGACTGGCCGCATCCTATAATGGAAACACGCAGCCATGCAGCAGAGGGTGGCCATTAAGAGGGCCTGGCCAAGGGAGGTGACGTTTTAGCAGCCACCAGTGATGGGAAGGTCTGGGGAAGGGCACCTCAGGCACAGGCAATAGCAAGGGCAAAGGTCAGGTGGCAGGAACGGGTGTGGCTGGAATCTCTCGGGCCTGGCTCTGTGGCCGACCTGGGGAGGGCAGTGAGCAGGGCTGAGCTAGTCCTGTCTGTCTCGAGAGTTCTCTCTGCTGTTTTGTGGGTGGGAAACTGCCAGTGGCGTTTGGGGAGGCTCTACGTCTTCCTGGGTTGTGCTGCTGGTGGCTGGGATGAGGTGGTGGCCCAAGAAGGGCCATTGCCAGCGTGGAAGGTGTATCTACAGGTTACCTGCTGACAGTAGGTGACAGTCTCTGGGTGGCTTTGCTAGGGGCTTGCTGTGTGTCCCTGGGCAGGTCCTCTTGCAGAACGAGCAGATTTAGACTCTGAGTCCATCATCATCCTTGCCTGCAAGGGCTAACCTGACCCCTGCCCCTTCTCTGGCCATTTGGGAAGCAGGCCCAGGTGGCTCCTACCCCTGTGTCCAGATTCCCACTGCGGACATGGGAAGGAAAACCCACGGCTCCTCCGCAGTAAAGGGTGACCCAGGCATGGGCCACTCACGCCGTCTGAGGCTCACTGCACTCGGGCCCTCACACAGATGCATTCCAAACGGGAAAGCAGGGGCCTGCAGGTGGGGCCCCGCCTGCCCACCACACTCCTGCTGCCGCGGGAGCAGCCGCCCCTTCGCCACGCCACGCGGCCCGTCCTTCCTCCTTATCTGGCCTTTGTAGGAAGCCAGTGCAGGAAGTGGACTTGGGCCTGGCTTCCTGCTGGCGCTGACCTCCCTGGGGCAGCTCTTCTCAGAAAGAGCCTGTGGGATATAGGATCCCTCCCCAGTCCCTTCCTTCCATGGGGGAGACACCCCCCTGGTGGTCCAGGGCCACTTCCAGCCTCCTTAGGGAGAGGCCTTCAAGTTCACACCCCCTGGAAAGCAGCCGTTCATGGATCGGGGTGGTGGCGGGGACCAGGACTCCCCTGCAAAGGCTTTGGGGGTCAGGGCCAACTGGAATTCCAAAGTCGCCAGGACAAGGTGGGGCAGAGCCTCCCGGGTGAGGTGGCTTCTCATCCTTAGGGCCCCCTGATGTTGGAACCTTCCTCATGGTAATCCTAGAATGGGTGATACTGGACCCTGGACCCAGGCACTGCTACCCGAGTCACTCTTCTTTCTGGAAACCCAGAGGCAGACCCCAGCATATGAGTCATACTTTGTATTTTTAAAATTAAAGAGCTGATTTTTTCCCCCCATTATGGAAAGATTACATATTATTCTTGTTAGTATAGTGGTCAGAAAAAACATTACATGTTTGTTATAAAAAAAAATACAGTAAGCATAGGAAAAGAAACATATATATATATTTTTCCGGGGAGGGCGGGGGGACAGAGTCTTGCTGTGTTGCCTGGGCTAGAGTACCATGGAGTCAGCCCAGCTCACAGCCACCTCAAGCTCCTGGGCTCAAGGGATCCTCCCACCTCTGCCTTCCAGAGTACTAGGATTACAGGCGTGAGCCACCGTACCCAGCCTTCAGAAAAGAAATATCTTGAAAGCTCACCTTGCCTGGGTGAGTTTTTAAAGATCCCATCCTTTATCTGCCATCGTTATTGAAAACCAGACTTTTTCTAGAATATTACTTTGCCTTCACCTGGTGACCTCCTGTCTTTGAAAACCCAGCTCAATGCCTGTAATCCTAGCACTCTGGGAGGCCCAGGCAGGAGGATCGCTTGAGGTCAGCAATTTGAGACCAGCCTGAGCAAAAGCAAGACCCCGTCTCTACTAAAAGTAGAAAAAATGAGCCAGGTGTGGTGGCGTTGCCTGTAGTCCCAGCTACTCGGGAGGCTGAGGCAGGAGGATCGCTTGAGCCCAGGAGTTGGAGGTTGCTGTGAGCTGTGATCATGCCACTGCACTCTAGCTCATGCGACAGAGCGAGACCTTATCGCAACAACAACAAAACAATTGGCCAGAATGGTCAGCTTTAAGACCAGGCGGTGGCCCTCTCTGAGAGGAGAGAGGGCATACGAGGCTTACTTTCCTAGTCCAGGAGACAAGTGTGTGTTCTCGGGTCGGCCACAGTAAGAAGATGGCATTTTTGGTGATCAGCACATGCTCCTGTACCCCAAGACCATGCGACAACCCCAGCCCCACCCAGGGGCCAGAGCTCCCCGGCGCTGGTCAGACAAGTCACATGGCTCTCTTTGCCTTTCAGCTTCCCTTGTCACTGCTGAAGACCGCTCAGAATCATCCCATGGTGAGTATGCAGCAGTCTGGGATGGCACGTTTCAGAGAGGGGCAGGCCTCAGCACAGGGACAGGGACAACCTGGGCGGAGGGCTTCCTGCCTGCTTCCTGCCTGTCCACCAAACACACAGCTCCCAACACGTCCGGGCCTGGGTCATTTCTGCTGCTTGCAAAAGTAATACATGCTTATTAAAAATCACAAACCCTAGACAAGGTGGAAAGCGCAAACCTCTTCGTTTAGCTTCACAGCAGCCTAATTCCATGGTGTGCGCACGCCCAGGCTTTCATCTCGCGTGCAGGCGAGAATGTAATTTTTCTTAACCGGAGTGGCAGCGCTCGATATGCGTTGTTCGCAGCCGCTTTACCACTGGATGAACTTTTATCCTTTTTTTTTCCTTTCTTCTTTTGAGACAGAGTCTCGCTCTGTTGCCTGGGCTAGAGTGAGTGCCATGGCGTCAGCCTAGCTCACAGCAACCTCAAACTTCTGGGCTCAAGCGATCCTCCTGCCTCAGCCTCCCGAGTAGCTGGGACTACGGGCACGCGCCACCGCGCCCGGCCACCACTTTTATCCTTAACGATACCGTGTGCTATCTGTCCACGTTCATCGGTGCATTCTGTTTCTTTCTTTTTAACCCCTCTCTCTCTGGGTGAAGTTACTATGTGCGTACAACTGAGCCATTCCAAAGTGCACAGTCCAGCGGCATTCAGTGCAGTCGCAGTGTCGCACAGCCACCACCTCTGTCTAGTTCCAGAACACTTCCGTCACCCCAAAAGGAGACCCCATCAGCAGCCACTCCCTATTCCCCTCCCCCAGCTCCAACAGCCACAAATCTGCTTCCTGTCTCTGGATTTACCCGCTCCGGGCACTCCCTGTGAGCGCGAACGTAGACTACGTGACCTTTTGTGTGTGCCTCCTTCACTTAGCAGGCTTTGAGGCTCGGCCACACTAAGGCATGTGTCGGTGCTTCAGTGTGGCTAGCTGATTCTCCGTGTGCGGGTTGATGCCACGTCGTGTTTATCCACTCATCCGCTGACGGGCATTTGGGCTGTTTCAGCTTTTTGGCTATTGCAAACAGTACCGCTGCCAACAGTTGTGCGCGTGTTTTTGCGCCATGTACATCTTCGTTTCTCTTAGGCAGATGCCTAAGCTGGTTCTTTTTAAAATCTCAACCTTGGCCACATGCAGTGGTTTGTGCCCATAATCCCAGCACTTTAGGAGGCTGAGGTGGGAGGATCGCCTGAGCCCACGAGTTTGAGGTCACAGCAGTGAGCTATAATCATGCCACTGCCGTGTAGCCTGGGGAACGTACAGAGACCTCGTCTCTAACAAATAAATAAATGCATAAAATCTTAACCTTCTCCTGACAGCAGCATGTCTGCAGGATGAGGCGCTACTCATCTTTTTCCTCAGAACACATCACAGTAGGCAAGTAACTATCGCCGCGAGAAACGGCGCTTCCAGACCACCAAGGCCCACACATCTGGCAGTGACGGGGCACCTGCCGAGACCAGACCAGACGTGCCACCTGGCCCCGAGCCGCCCTCCATCAGTGGCCACCAGTACCCCGATCTCGCTCACTCCTTTAAACATTCGTGTGTGTTTTTAATCACACAAAGAATGGTGTCGTCGTAGAAACCCTAGCAACACGAAGTGTACGGAGGGGCCGTTTCCAGGGCCTTGGCGCCACGGGCGGAGGCCCGGGTAGTGCTGGCCAGTCTCTCAGGGGCAGGGCCCTGAGGCTACAGCTGACCTCTGTTTTATTTTTTCCCAGTTAGTGGAGCTCAAAAATGGGGAGACGTACAACGGGCACCTGGTGAGCTGCGACAACTGGATGAACATCAACCTGCGAGAGGTGATCTGCACGTCCAGGGTGTGTGGCCTGTACCTGCTGTTGGGGTGGGGGCAGGCAGTGGGAGGGTGGTTTTAGGGTGCTGTGTCTGGCACAGATGGGGACTCCAGGGGTGGGTGCTGGCATGGGGGCAGCGTTGCTGGGGTGCACCCTCGCGGAGGGCTTTGCTGTGGCTCAACGTCCTTGCTCCAGAGTGGGGTGAAGACGCCTTCCTGGGCCTTGTGGGGGAGTCATTGCAGGATGCTGCTTGGCACCGGTCACCTGCCAGGGACCAGCAGGGCTGGGCAGGGTGGGCCAGGTCTCCGAATCCCACAGGGCGCCCTGGACTTTGCTCCTGTGGTAGGCTGTCCCCCGGCCTCTGCCGCTGTGTGTGCCACCCCTGACCAGGAAGGACTTGGGCCGGGGGCTCCACGTGGCTACAAATCCTGATGCGCAGGTCGGAGTGGCCACCTCTGGGAGTGGCCTCATCCTCCTGCCGGACTCAGCGGGCTGGGGCGGGCCATGGTGGTGCAGCCATGGGGTGTCTAGGCCCGGGGCAGGGGCGGCGCTGAGGCCCTGTGGACCGGGAGCCGCCGGCCAGAGCCTGAGACATTGCTGGGCAGGCCAGAGACAGGACGGCTCCCCTGGGCTCTCAGTTCCCCTGGGGTCACAGGCCTTTCTTGCCCTTGAGATGACCCACAGGGCGATGAGGGTGGGAACAGGGATGGGGTGAAGGCAGCGGCTCCCTCCTGCCAACCTGCGCCTTGATGCAATCTGTCTCGTGTCCTTGTGGGCGACAGCCTCAGGCAGGTGTGGGGGCCGCATGGCTTGGTCGTTCTGCAGGGGGCACGACAGAACCTGCCTCCTGCTTGTCTGTGCCGCGCCCCGTGGAGGGCGTCTGATGGGGGTGCCAGTGGGGCCCGTCACGTAACACGTGGTGCTACCGTGTATGACTGTGCACCTGTCATTCCGCTTGTGGCCGGCAGGTCTGTGTCCACTTCTGGGACTTGGAATTGCCGGTTTGTCACAGGGCATGAGCACGTGGGGCTTTGTCACCACCTCTAGGTCCCAGATGTGACAAGACTGTTCCTTAATTCAGAGCCAGAGAGTCCCCAGGTGTAGTCCAGCCTCCACTGCCAGCTTACAGCAGACATGTACATGGCTTCCTCTGGCCGGTCCACCCCTGTGGCTGGGTGGCGACGCCTCTGTCACCAGTTGGGAGGAGAGGCTGGTGTTAACGCATGTCCTCATCCGGGCAGTGGCAGCCCCTCTCTCCTGCAGAGGCCGCAGGAGCCTCCCTGCAATTAGTGCGGGCCTGCGCCCTGTGTCCCCCACGCGGAAGCGGCTGGGCCCGCCCTGGCCCTGGCGAGGGGAGAGCTGAGCACTGAGCTGCCAGCCCAGGCCTGAGCTTCCACGGACCCTCCCGTTTCTGCCTGGCCATACTTTGTAACCCCCTGGACTTGGCCCCAAACTCTCGAAGGGTTCCTGTGCTGGTCAGGGGCTCACGTGTGTTCCCCAGGAGAGTTGGCACCGAGACATTGTTCCCACTGCGTGCCTCCATGGGACCAGACTGACCCAGGCTCGGAGGGGAGTGTCAGACGGGAGGCCTGTTGTGGGCTGGAGTTAGCCCGACAAGAAAAGGAGGGACAGCCGTGCAAAGTTCTGGGGGCAGGCCCCTGGCATATGTTCCAGAAATAGAAAGTCCCATTTGTAGGGAGCGTCACCAGGAGAGGGCAGCCAGGGCGGGGCTGGGTCTCAGGCCCTGGGGAGCCACGCTGAGGAATCTGGACCTCATCCTCGGGCAAGCAGGGCTGGGCGGGTCCTAAGCAGGGAGGGTACCTTGATCTGGTTTCCAGGAGCGCTGGGGGAGGAGAGGACTGTCCCGGAGCCTGGGCAGGGGGCAGGGCTGGGCTTCTAGTGTGCTAGAAGAGGCCGTGGGTTCCTGCTGGACGCTTGGTGTGTCCTGAGGGAGGCGTTCCTAGAAGCCTCAGAGTGGGCACTGTGGAGTGAGTCTGCGACTTTGCAAGCCCCTCCTCTCCCCAGCCTCAGTTAGCTCCCCGAGAACCAGCATCGTTGGGAGGGGCCCCTGGCAGGCCCCAGACCCCCCCCACCTCTCCACCTGCCACACCGGGTCCTTGGTGTGCCCTCCGTGTCCCTGGGCCCAGATCAGGCCCTGTCAGGAGGAGTCAGTGCACATGGAGAAGGTTCCAGAAGGGAGGTGGAGCTGGGTTGTGCTGGCCTGTGGTGCACAGGGAAGCCCCCACCTTTCTCTGGGCTTTGGAGGGAGCCGCCGTCAGCCACTCTTGAGCCAGGCCTGTGGGCAGAGGTGCCCGTCTCCATCGTGGCGCACACCGGGGCTCCTCAGCCCTGCCTCAGCCGCACTTCCTAGAGTGGACCCCTCCCCGTCATGTCCCAGGACTGAGACCTTGCAGCTTCCAGGGGCGACACGGCGCAGGCAGGGTGGGAACAGATGCTGCCCGGCCGTCTGCACCCAGCTCTCCAGACCCCTCCCGCAGAGCTGAGCCCCCCACTCCCGGGGCCGGGCTGGACAGCTAAGTGATCACCCGCATCCCTTCTGGCGCAGGATGGGGACAAGTTCTGGCGGATGCCCGAGTGCTACATCCGTGGCAGCACCATCAAGTACCTGCGCATCCCTGACGAGATCATCGACATGGTCAAGGAGGAGGTGGTGGCCAAGGGCCGCGGCCGCGGCGGCCTGCAGCACCAGAAGCAGCAGAAGGGCCGAGGCATGGGGGGCGCCGGGCGAGGTAGGCTCCCCGGGACCTGGGAATGAAACCCCCACCTCCTTTGTCGCCTGCTGGGCACATGGAATCACCTCCCCAAGCCTCGGTTTCCTCCCTGCAGAGAGGGTCTGGCAGTGCCCAGCTCTCCAGGCTGCTGGCAACGCCCCAGCCTAGGGCCTGGTGGGGGACCCTTTTCCTGCTGTGACTCCTTTGTACAAAGCCCGGGTCACGCCTTTTTTGATAGACGTTTGTCCCCCCTCCCCCCACCAGAAATGATAAATCTGGCATAAAATTCAATTTGTTACGCCCCCGGGGCCATCTGCAGCCCGCACCCCCCTCACCTCCCCCACCCCAGCTCTGTCCTCAGAAGGACCCGGGCTTTGTTCCTTCCATCTGTGGGCAGTGCCCGTGTGCCATCTCGAGTGCTGGCCTGGGAGCTCGGTGCAGCCTGGCTTGCCCTCGGGTAGTGCACCTGGCGGGACCAGGGTGCTGGGAAGGCCACAGGAGCCAGCCCTGAGTGGAGGTACCTCAGGCAAGGAGCTTTTTGGGGTCTGGGGGTGAGCAGGGTGTCCGGGGCCCCAGGCCTGTTCCAGGCCCTCATCTTTCTCCGGAGCTGGCCTGAGGGCCTGGCTCTTGGCACTTGGCGCCACTGCAGTGGAGAGAGCGGGTCCGGCGCTGCCCGGTGTGGAGAGCAGGGGACGGGGTCGTCTTGGCTGCTCTGCAGTGAGCCCCTTGGCCCTCAGCAGGAGCCAGAGCCTCGCAGGAGGCCCCCGGCTGCAGCCCCCTTGGCAGAGCTGGTCCTGGAGAGAACGAGGTCAGGCCACCGGGCTGGCGTTGGCCTCTGTCCCCGCAGGTCTGGTGGCCCCCGGCTGGCAAGAACCCTGACCCCACCTTCATGGGGTTAAGGTGTGCAGAGGAGACAGCGATCCCAACCCCCGTGGGCGTCAGTCCCTCTCCCCAGGCCGCAGGGCCGGGCTCCTCTTTCCTGCTGGCCTTGGCTTTCCTGGTACTTGAAGCCCCAACTGTAACTTCCTCAAACGTTCACCTGGCAGAAAGGGTCTCAGAGACAGCCTCCTAGATGTGGCATACAGAGCTGGGGGTCGCAGGAGATGCAGCCCTCCCTCTCCCCAGGGAGGGGTCTGTGGTGGGGGTGACATGAGGGGGTGCCCAGCACACGGGGTGTGTCTCCTGCACTCTGTGCCACTACCTTTGGCTGGCGAGCGTAGCCCTGCGTACAACCCAGTCAGGCGAGTCCCTGCGCAGCTCTCGTCCTGCCGGGACCTCCCTGGGTGGGGAGTGACAGACCCCCATGTAAAACATCATTAGGGATCGTGGTCCTCTTGTCCTGGTGGCCTCGGGCCATCTCCGGGGCTGGACACACAGACAGGCTTTTTGTTCTCTCCCGCAGGCGGATGAAGGGTGGAGGGTGGTGCTGGGGCATGCATGGGAGGCCCTGTCCCCACCCCCAACCCCCGGTCTAGCCCACAGCAGCCCCCAGCCTCGCCTGCTGCCCTGGTCTCTGCCCCCACCTGTCCCACACCCGTCCCGCCTCCCCAGTCCTGGAAGCCCTTCTGGCTGGCTTTGTCCTTTCTGAATCCTGTCCCAAGCCCCAAGTGGTTCAGTGCCGGCTTCTGTTCCTCCCCTCCCCTTGTCCCCTGGGGGGCTGGGATTAATCCTTTGTCACGGGACGACAACAGGACATGCCTCCCTCGTTGGGCGCGCCACCCTGGGGGGAGGAGGCTAGAAGCACCATCATGGTCCCCATTTCCTGGACCAGGGGGCTGAGGGGACCTGGCCCAGCGTCCGAGGGTGCCAGGACGCAGTCCGAGGCCACCTAGCTCTACAGCAGCGCGTCTCCGTGTCCTGCAGGTGTGTTTGGCGGCCGGGGCCGAGGCGGCATCCCAGGCACAGGCAGAGGCCAGCCCGAGAAGAAGCCGGGCAGACAGGCAGGCAAGCAGTGAGCCCCGCCGGAGACCAGCCGCCGCGTCGCGCTGGTGGCGAGTGCCTGCGGTCCAGTTTGCAGGTCTGTTCAGAAAGAAGAGAAGAGGCAGGTGTTGGGGGGGACGCCCGCCCCTGCGTTTTGTGACCCTGCTCTTTAGGCGAAGTCCCTTTTTTTTTAAAGCCAGCAGTTCTGCAGCTGGAATGTTGTCGTTCAGCGTTTCGGGTTTTGTGCGGCTGCTGTCCGCACAGCCAGCTGGAGCCTGGAAGAGTCTGTGTCTCAGGCACCTCTGAAGCCCGCGCTGTCCTGTCCTCCGCGCTTCCCGGGCAGGTCTGCTTTGGATCTCGCCGTGGAGGACAGACGGAGGTTTTTATTTTAAGCGCTTGCAGGGAGACTAACGGCCTGTTCCCTTCAGCATGGCCTGAGATTCCGCCCTTTCAAAATAAACCCGGGGACGAGCGGTGCAGGGGACCTTGCTGGCCCTGCCCCTTCGATCCCACTCTCTTTGTGTTACAAAAATAAAAACGAATGCAGGTATACGGGCTGTCCGTCTTCCTCTGGAGCCACTGGGCACACCTAGAGGATCTTCTGTCCCCTGTCCCCGGGCTCGGGCAGGCCCGATGGCTCCCGAAATCACAGGCCCCATATGAGATGCTCCCACGACCGTCTCGCTCTAATCAAGGGTTAGTGATTCCATGGGGCACTGACGTCCTCTTACCCTGGGCAGTGGGCGGGCTGTTGGGCCCCCTGGTGTCCCAGCCCCTCCGTGGAGATGGTAGCACCTTGGGGAGGTCGGGGGAGGGCAGTGCTGGGCAGAAGCCACGCGTGGCCTCCCGTGCCCTGGCGGCTTGGGCTCCACCATCCGTGCCGGCGTCGCGCAGAGAGAAGCTGGGACAGCGGCCACCTTGGAGGAGCACCGAAGATCATCATCGTCACAAGGCTCTGCCCTGCTTTCCAGCAGAGGCCCGGCCTGTCACACCTCTGGTAACCCGCCCAAGACGTCGAGTCAGCACTTTTGGAAAATGCTCTCGGTAGCATCGTCTGCGGACGGTTTTTCCTTCCGTAAGCAAAGGGAAGGAACCGCAGGGAAGCCTGGGACATGCGTCGGCTCGTCCCCCTGTGCACACGTCCTCTCCACGGCCACCGTGTTGAAACCCGTTTGGAGGGGTGCTTGGGACTACAGGCTTCGCGTGCGGAGCCCACTTCTTGGGTCTTCAAAGTTCCACCCGTGTTGCCTGGTGCCTGGGACGCTGTCCTGGTCCGTTGTGGGACCTGCTGCTGCCTGACGTGGTCCAGGCCTATGGCATCCACCTGCCCCCCAGCACAGCCTCCCGGGCGAACACAGGGCGGGCGGGTGGGAGGGCTGTGGGGGTGGCAAGGCTGGCAGGGTGAGGGGGCGGGGCCTCTGGCAAGACAGAGGGGAGAAGGCGGCCTGATTTGCAGCTGCCGCCGCCACCCCCATGCCCTGGATTCATTGGCCCAGAGAGGTCTCGGGGCTCTGCTAGGGGAGCTGGGCCCCTTCCTGCCAGGGGTCATCTCCGGCACACGCGGCTTTCATGAAATCTGGGAGCTCCAGGGTCAGGCGTCCTGGAAAACCCTTCAGGGGCCCCTTCCCCGCTGCTGGTACCAGTTCGGTTTCCCCTCCCTCACCAAGCTCCAACCCAAGAATGCGTTCAGGTGCCCCCAGCCCGCAGGGTCTTGGGGCTCCTTTTACGGTCACAAGGGCTCGTAAATTACCGGGGCTTTCAGCGCTGGGGCTGATCCCAGAGCGCCTGAGCCTGCGTAATCGCGCCGCTCGCCTGCCCCGCTCCCGACGCGGGAGCAGCTCTGACCTTTCCAGCCCGCCAGCCTCGGCTCCCGGCCAGTTCCCTCCTCACCGTGACGTGACGTGAGCTGCACGCAGGGCCCCCTTGCCTGCCTCAGCTGCCTCTGCCCCACTTGGGTGCAGCAAGCTTCCAGAAGCTTCCGGCCTCCTGAGCCCAAGGTGGGGCCAGCCCCGTGTTTCATTCTTCCTGCTTGGTTTTGAGAAGCCTCGTCCTCAGCCCCCTCAACAAGAAGAGAAACCAAATGCCCTGGCCTAGTTCCTAAACCTGGGGCTTCCAGATCTTTCTGGCCCTCCGATGAGTCTGCACCCTTGTCACCTGACTGGGGCCACCGGCACCGTAGGTGGTTCCCGCCCGCCCCCAACCTCCCCGCCTGGAGCTTGCTTTGTGTCAGAGGCCCACGCCGTGCGCTGTGGCTGGCGCAACTCGGCTGGCGTGCGGCAGGCCCAGCACCGCCACTGCCGCCGCCTCGTTCTCTGCGGCCCAGAGTCCGTGTCAGGGACAAATGCAGAGGCCAGCCTCAGGCAGTGGCCCCCGGACACCCCTGCACACACCTCAGCACTGATTCCTCCTCCTCCAGGCCTCCCTGCAGCTCCCAGAGCCACTCTGACAGCCCCTTCAGATGGCCTGTGTCCCTGTCACCTCCCTCCCCACCCTGGCCAGCAGGACCCTGGCCCCCAACACAAGCCTCGCACTGGGTCCGCTTACCCTGTCCCAGGCACCCTACGTCCCAGATGGCGCGGCCCCTCCCTTCCACAGGGGTGAGCCAGCCACAAACAAGTCAAATGCATAAACGCTGCAGAAAAGAAGAAAAAATGAGAAATGGTGTGTGAGAAGGTGGCCACAGAAGGCGAGAGGGTGACGGAGATTCAAGAAGGGCTGGAGGGAGGCAGCCATCTGGGGGAAGAGCATTTCAGATGAGGGAATGATAGGTGCAAAGGCCCTGTGCCCAGCGGACACAGGCAAAGTGAGATGGGAAGGAAATGGGGAGGGTACAGGCCTTGAGTGACACGCTGGGAGCCCAGCCCAGGTGGCTGTTGCTCAGGAAGCCCAGGACAGGACCCTGGGGTGGGACCTCCTTTCCACAGAGATGCCTCTCCGACGGGTCAAACCAAGTCTAGTAAGGGCAAGAAGCCCCTGGGCGCAGGAAGAGCGCAGGGAACCGGTGGAGGGAACGGCAACTGCAAAGCCCTGAGCTGCGGCCTGCTCCGTGGGCCCCTCGCAGACGCTCTGGTGCTGGGGCGAGCATGCGCTGAGCACATTCGGCATCGTGGCGACTTCTGTGCCATCAGCCACTTCTCGAGACTGAGCGAGGGGTGGGTCCCCCATGCTCCTACTCAGCCCTGTGGGTTTCCAAAGCCACTTCCAACTTGGCACCTCTGGGGTTCCTCACAGATAGAGAAATGCATGCTCGGGGGACAGGTGCACCACCCTCACGACAGCCCACCATTGTCTGTCTATCAGCGACTGTGTGTCAGGCAGCTCCGGAACCCCCCCACAGGGAGGGGTCCTCATTCACTGCCCAGGCACAGAGAGGGTGAGCGACCTGCCCCAGGTCACACAGCAATGGACTTGGCCCTCTGCTCCGGGGCCTCCTCAGAGCTCCTTCCATTGCCCCCTTGAATTTGAAGGGGCCACTAACTTTCGCCCAGCTCAGGTGTGTCAGGCCCAAAATCACAAGCCCGGAACTGGTCGGGACGGAGGCAGGTGAGGTCGGCTCCTGCTTTAAAGTTCACTGCCCTGATTGTAGCTGAGGGACGGGATTCAAGGCACATGGGGAAGGTGGCCGGTGAGTTTGACCCAGCTGTGCCCCAGTGTCCTCGCTGGTCAGTGGGGGCACTATCGGCTCCATCTCATGGGGCTTTGGAGAGGATTACGTGAAAGGAATCTTGGGGCCGACCTGGTATACAGCAAGTGCTCGATAAATACCTGCAATCATGTAAGAGGGTGCCTCACTGTGTACCTGCAGAGCGTTCAGAACCTCACCAGGGACCCTCTTCAGCCTTATTAGCTATGGGCTTGGTGTCAGTGGCTCTGTCCAGGGGGCACCTGGGCAGCGGCCAGGCCACTGTCCTCTGTGCCCGGGAGGCCGGCACTGGAGGCCTGGCCCCAAAGCGGTGACCATTCACCTTGCAGGCCTGCAATCCTGCCCTGCAAACCCCCTCCCAGCCTGGGCTGGCTCTGTGGCCACCGGGCAGTGACTCACCCCTGCCCCGCCTCCGCTGGAACAGGGCACCAAAATAGTCACCCAGCTTGCTCTCGGGAGTGGCCGTGGAAATACTTCAGGGCTGCATTCAGCACCTAAAAATACTCCTCGTGTCCTCACGCGTCTCCCCTTCCCTAACCCCTCCTCTGCACCGCCAGGGCCAGACCCTCCACGCCTCGCCCCTCCAGCGCGGAGGGACTCCAGAGGCCACCATCTCCCCAGTGCCCCCTGTAGGGGGCAGCTTCTGAAGTCATCTCAGTCCTAGGGTAGGGAAGGCCAGGGCTCAGCGACGTTGTCCGGAGAGACCTTCATTTTTCAGCAGTTTTTCTTAAAAATTAAAGAATGATTGTTGCTGTTTGTGCTCCTGAGGTGGCCGGAAGCAGGCGCATCGGACGGGGCCCCCAGCTGCCCTGAACTGCACCCCCTTGCCCTCCCACTGGCTTTGAGACCCCCAGGTAGGTTGTGAGTTCTTCCTCCCATACAAGGTGGAGGCCTTACAACCCTTGGAGACACCTGGCCTCCTGGTCATATGCAACGGCCTCTGTGGCCCCGAGGACTGGTCAACTCTGTGCTAACCACCAAGCACCTTGACCTTCCTGGTGGCCTAAGGAAGGTGGGGGAAGAGGAGCACATGGACTCGGACTGCGGTTCATCCCGCCAGGGTGGGATCAAGCATCTCAGTCACCTGAGGGCTCCAACTAGAGGGAACAGCAGGTGCAAAGGCCCTGGGCAGGTGTGCGCTGGGTGAGCTGCAAAAGCAGTGCCCCATAAGGCCTCCCTGGCCCTCCTCGTTTCTCCCTTAGGGAGGATGAGTCAACCTAGACAAGGTCAGAGGGCTGGACTCTCTGACCTCTGATACACTTATGAAGCAGTTTTGTTTGTTTTTTTAAATTTGTTTTTACTAACTAAAATCCCTACTTTTTTTTTTTTTTGAGACAAAATCTTGCTCTCTTGCCCGGGCTAGAGTGCCATGGCATCAGCCTAGCTCACAGCAACCTCAAACTCCTGGGCTCAAGCGATCCTCCTGCCTCAGCCTCCCGAGTAGCTGGGACTACAGGCATGTGCCACTGTGCCCAGCTAATTTTTATATATATATATATATATATATATTTTTTTTTTTTTTTGGTTGTCCAGATCATTTCTTTCTATTTTTTTTTAGTAGAGACAGAGTCTCGCTCTTGCTCAGGCTGGTCTCCAACTCCTGACCTTGAGCGATTCACCCGCCTTGGCCTCCCAGACTGCCAGGATTACAGGTGTGCGCCACGGCGCCCGGCCTAAAATCCCTACTTTTATTCAGATTTCCTTAGTTTCTTTAAAAACACATTTTATTGAAGTAGAGCATTTTTGGTTTTTTTAAAAAAATCTGTTTATTTATTATTTTTTAGAGACAGAGCCTTGATCTGTTACCCAAGCTGGCCAGCTCCTGGGCTCAAGCGATCCTCCCGCCTCAGCCTCCCAAGTAGCTGGGACTGCAGATGTGCCCCACAGCGCTTGGCCAGA